TCGCCGTCGCCGCCCCGTCGCCGCCTCGTCGCCGTCTGTCGTCTGGGACTGTCTGCCGGACTGGCAGCTATGCCGTCGCCGTCGCCTCCCCGCCGCAAAGATTGCGCTACACAGATAGACTACCGTGTCTTAAGACAGTAAATTCCACCACCCTCCCAAGGGCGGACTCAACGGCACCGAATGGGAATTTGCAATTCACATGCGATTATGCCCCATCGTTCGATTTCGTTTTCGGTGGAGCTCCCCACGGGGCCACGAAACGTCTAAAGGGTGTGCCGAATTGGGCGCGGTGGTGCGATCCGGGCGTTGCTGCTGAACCCTCGGTGGAGCTCACTATGGTGCCACGAAGCGTGTGAGGGGTGTGCCGAAGTAGGCGCGATGGTGCCACGAGAACGCAGCCCTTGGGAACTTCGGTGGAGCCCTCGCCGCATGGGTTTTGCAAACCAAATGGCGACTGGGTGGGTGGCTAGGATGATTGCGCGAACCGTGGAATTGACAGCTCAGCTCGACCAAAACCAATTTGCGCCACACGGATTGCACCAAGTAGATTGCGCACCACACTGACTGCACAACATAGTTTGCATCACATAGACTGCACCAGATAGCTTGCACAACATAGATTGCACCTCATACATTGCATAATAGAGATCGCACCTCATCTATTATCCTCTCTTAAAAAAGGAATCCATTATAGCCCCCGCCCCCGGATTATCCCCGCCTGTTCACATTACAATGTACATATGATGCTGCCCCATCGTCCATCCGGAGTACGAATTCACACCATCCAAAAGGCCCGTATCGACACCCCCGCCATCCTCATCAAAACATTCTATGCGCGCGCACTCGTTTGTCAGAAATCATCCATGTTCCAGAATCCCTTAGAAAAACTGGACGACGTGCAAAAGCGCGCGTCGTCGCGCGCACATGCCGGAATCCTTCGAAAACCTGCGGTTCCACAAGGATGCCAAATCGAATGTCGAAACAATATAAACACCTAATTTCGCAGCCCTGATCTTCAAAACAAAAAATGCAAGCGCGCACTCTTGCAAATGCTTAGAAAAACCATTAGTTGTTCAACCTGTTCATACAATGCTACCAGAGTGGCTTCGCGCGCGCGCACGACGAAATCGGTCGAACGCCCTTGCGCGCGTGCTGTCGCAAGAACCCTTTCTGCAAACACGGAGCGCAGTGCAAGTGCACACGCGCGCGTCGTCGCGCGCGCATGCCGAAATCTGTCAAAAACTTTCGGCGTCATAAAGATTTCCGAACCGAGAGTCCAAAAAACGTGCACAAGACACTGGGTTTCGCAACATCAGTGTTCAAAAAAGCCTGCACTCGCGCTCTTGCGAATTCGTGAGCAAACCCGGAGTTTTTCAACATGTTCATGGAGTTCTGCCAAACGGGCCTCTCGCGCCGCATGCCGAAATCATTCGAACGCACTTGCGCGCGTGCCGGGGGGGCACGATCCGTGTCAAATAATACCATGCGGTTTCTCTCGCGCGTCGGCCGCGAGCGCATGTCACACTTCTTCCAAAACCTTCATCACCGACGCGAAGACGCCGTCATCGTCGTCGGTGTGATCAGCATCGGCGCCGTCCTTGGCCTTGCCGTCGTCATCGCCACCGTCGTCACCATCGCTACTCTAATAATCGTGTCTGCCGCTTTCGACGTCGCCATGATACCGCGCCCGCCCGAATCACCGACCCGCACTGAAGTGCCCGGTGTGAAGTGCCAAGCGGTGAGCGCCACCGCGGCCGCGTCGGCCGCGCCAAACTAGCTGACCGCTGTGCGCGCGAGCATGCGCGGGCTAGCGTGGCCGCAGAGATGCATCAGCCAAAGCCAAGCACTCATCGCAATCGCCGCCGCATGGGTTTTGCAAACCAAGTTGCGGGTGGGTGGGTAGCATGTTTTCAAGAGCATGGGAAGTGGTCAAGCGCGGTGCAGGGTAGTCAATTGCGCCACATAGATTGCGCCACAGAAATTACATCACATATACTGGACAATCAATAGACTGCTATTGCACAACACCGATTGCACAACATCTATTGCATCACATCGACAGCACCACATAGATTGCACAATATGGGTTGCGCCATTGAGATTGCACCACATACTGGACAGCATAGGTTGCACCAGATAGGTTGCTAGAAACGCACTGCTTGGGGCCAACGGTGGCTAACATATCTTTATGTATGTATATACAAAGAGAGATATACATATACTGGACGTGTGAAGTTATTCCTGACCCTACAGACTACAAGCATCGTCAGTGTTTCGCGCGCGCTCAAGTTCTGCTTCCCATTTGACCAAGCGTATACCGCGCCAGAGAAGCCGTGTCCAGATGAACGGGTCCTTGGCTTGGAAGCCCACGTTTTTGGTGTCTGAAGTCGCACTGGGGCCTGGTATTCTTGACAGTCCTGGGGCATCCTTTGGCACTATTGGGGAAAGGCTGGACCTCCGAGGCCATCTTGGAGCCACACTTTGTCAGCGAGTTAAAGTT